CAGCTTTCCACAATCTAATTCCGCGCCAAGAACGAACTAAACTTCGTCCTCACAGCTGCTCTCTCGGTGCCAAACGTTGCTCTCTGACGGCAGAAAAAAATCCCTGTCTCTGCCAGAAGCCATTCACTCACCTCCCACGGTTAAGTCGTGTCCTCGCTGCCATTACACGCAGCCGGATGCGGCAAAGTTCTCTGACGCGCTCCCCCGCCATCGGCAGGGGTCGGCGGATATATATATATATATATATGTAGCACGTTGGACCTATGACCGCACACTTTTTCATAGTGCTACGGACACTCACAATGCTTGGTCGCTTGCACATGGCTACGTCGGCTACGTAGGTGTCTTGAAAGCGCAGGTGTCTTGCAAGGCCGTCAATGTAGACTGGGCCACGAACAATCACTGTCCATCGCTGAAACAGTCTGAAGTTTGCTGTTTGAGCCCCTCCAGTTTGCTTGCTTTGGAGCACCAAACACCTTGACATAGTCATGAGTCATAGTCCATTGTGGGCCCCATTGTGTGCGTGGCAGATGCAGCTTCAGTCGTCACCTCCAGTTATATAGTCTTCAGAACAGCTGGGCAGGTGCACCGAAAGAATACCGTCCTGGTACCATGTCAGAACAGACTCTCCCATGCAACACTTCAGTTTGTTTCTGAAGCACAATTTATGCAAGTGACGCCGAGCAAGTTTTTCTCATTGCATCACTAGCATCCGACAGCAATGATCAAACACGTTGAACATCGTTGAACCACTTCCAAGCTAAAGATGCACCTCCGTAGCAAAAACTCTTGTGCAACCTTGTGCCACATGCCCTTGGGATGATCACGGTCTTGGCTCCTTCGGATTCTTCTGCAATCGACCTTGGTGGGAAAGAGTAAAACTTGGTGATCGGACGAAAACGGACGAAACCTTTGATGGTTGACGTTTTTGGCTGCGCAACCTTTGAGCGCCTTTGCTCGCCTTGTCCGTTCCCAGGATCTTGTTTGGCAGCAACTTGGAAGCGAGTTGGGAAGAAACCTGACCAAGAGCCATCGAGAACTCATCGAGAACCCATCTTCGTTAATTATATTTATGATATTTTTGTTAATCATGTCGAACCCGTCAAAGGAACCGTTTCCGACACCAGGTCGTCGGTCGTGCCGTTTGGCTTGCTTTTGGCCCAAGGTGAAGCATGGGGGCCGAGATCCAACAGCGAGGTCTCCAAACTTTTGGGTGGACTTCGCAAGGCGGACAGAGGAGATGGTGGATGGAGGGCTTGAACCAGCGGATGGACAAGAAGGAGATCCACATCATACCCCTTCAATGTTTGCTTCAATCAATCAATCCATCCTGGAGTTTCTTGCTGTATTCTGTTGTTATTTCCTGGTTTGGAGATACATTTCAACTCAACAATTGAGTATTTGTGCAACCTACTGTTGTTGCCCTAACTGATACTTCGGTGTCCTGATCCACCAACATTTCGTAGCATCGTTCATCGGCACGGTCTTCAAACGTGTATAGAGGATGAGGTGACGCTCGCTGTTCTGCAGGCGCTTCAAAAGCGCTATGTGGCCCCTTGAGCAAACAGAAAGTGTGGGAAGCGGCTGCTAGATTAGATTTGGGGAAGTCAGAAGGTACTACTAGCCCGGCAAATTGAAGTCAACCCAGAAGACTTTCATAGTTCCCAGTGCAGGTGCATGGTGTTACGTCACGTACAGGTGTTGACCAGTTGACTAGTGTTACATTGACCGTGGATTAATCGTGTTGAGAGCCAAGCCAAAGTTCGGAACTGGCTGGCACACACACACACACATGAGTTTCAATGATGTTTGGTGATGTTTTCTGAGGTTCCAAGCAATCAGGGGTCAGTCAAACCTTGCCACACCACTTAATTGCCCTGGCCCCAAGCTTGGTAGGTTCCCTTCCTGATTAAATTTGGGGGTTGTTGGGGACATCTTGACCCACACCCCACAGCCATCGCTCACCAAGTTTGGAAAAGAACCAGCGGTCCATCCTCTTGTGGAAGCGTGCCGTTTGCCGATTTTCTTTGAGGTGTCACAAAAAAAGATCGCTAGGAGGCAGACCAACACCCGTTGCAACGATAATTGAAGATGGACCTTGATTTTCCGAAGCGAGAAGCGACTAGAATGACATGCTTTCCGATATCCTCACAAACGACTTTTCAGGGGTCCATATTTGTACTTTGCTTCAGGTTTGTGCATGGAACCCTTGTTTCATCATTGCTAGTTTGAAGAACGAAGCCAGTTCACCATGCTCCAGGGACAGTTGCTGGCACTCGCTTGCAGTAGTGCGACCGTGACACATGCTGACATGTTCAAGTCAAGGAGGTGTTGGCAGATAGCGTGTACTGTGCATGCTAGCCAGTTCTGTTGATCTGCCAATCCGTGAGGATGCTATCAAACGGTTCCTAACAATGCAGGCGGGCAGTTGTCCTTGAGTTCATCTCAAGTCTTTCATGGCTGAAACCTTTGCGTTTATGGTTGGTCAGGAGGAAGCTTTATCTCAGAAAGCCTCGCTCATTCATAAAGTGGCGAACTGGAATCACGGCTCACATGGCTTCTTGGTTTGAAGTCGGCCCGGCTGCAACGAGCGAAGCTGTGTTGCTGGGCCGGTTGGCATGTCGCACAACCTACAGTATTTGAGACATCAAGAGACTCCTTACGTTTAGGGTTCAGCAATCACAAGAAGAGTTGGCCTCTTTTCAAGCTATCTTTGTTATTTTTTCCCACTGCTTGTTCCGTTGATGTGAACAACCTTTTGGAGAAGCTTCTATGTTCGAGGAACATGAAGAATTTGAAGCAAACCTCCAAGAAACCTTGAGCCTGCTCGAATTCTGTTGTGATCTCAAGTGCTGAGGCTGGCAACAAGATGCGAGGGAGACAAAACGAAAGACTCTGCACGCATTGTATGGGACCAAGACCACTGTGGTTTGCCCGCTGAGCCTGTGTGTGCACAATGACATCTTTTACAAAACCTATGTGCAAAATCTTTGCTGACCAGAGAGTGGGTTTGAAACACATCCAAACACCAGGGACCGAGTTCACAACGTCTGAGCCGGGCAATCAGAAAGATTCAACAATGTGTTTGGAATGATTTCAAGATTTATGAAACCACACAACAAAATGAATGAGGACATCAAACCAGCAAGAACTATCAAGAACTCATATATTACGAAAGCCAGCCGACAGGCTAGGATTGAGCTTTTAGAGCGAACGAAGTGAGTTAAGGGGGTGTGGGGGGTGAGGGCTGCTAAAGGCACAATTTGAGAGGGTGAACCCGGAGCCTTGGTGGGGGAGAGCGCTCCAAAGCGAGGGTCAGAAAAGCAGTGAAAATGGGGTCTGGTGATGCGAGTGATGCAATGGACGCCGAGTAGTGCATCATTAGCATCATGAAGGGCTGTGGAGGCTATTTGGACAATGGGCATTGAGCACTGGAGTGGAGACAGGGCCCATGTACAGAGCAGACCGCAGCCGATACGAGTTCCCAGGAGAACCCGCACTCGCGAAATCCATAGAGAACCGAAAGTGACATGAGTTCAAGTCCATGAATTTGGATTGAGTTTCGGCGGGGTCGGTCGAGTGGATGCTTCTCGCGGCGCCCACACGCACCGAACGCTTTTCCGGCTTGCCGGTGCAGATAGAAAGAAAGAAAGATAGATACATAATGATACATACATACACACATAGGTAGATAGATAGATAGAGATAGAGAGATTCAGATAGAGAGATAGAGAGATAGATAGATCGATGGATAGATAGGTAGATAGATAGACAGACAGACAGATAGATGATAATAGATAAATTCTATATACTACTGACTCATGACGTCGCCTTTTTGCTGGCGGCCCTGGCCGAATCCAGTCAGCCTGGGTCCACGGCCCAAAGATCTACACGCGCAGGTGCCAAAGACAAGGCCTCGGAGTGAGAAAGATGCAGAGTTGATAAGAAAGAGAAGAATAAAGAAGGTGTTTGGAGCATTTAAAAGAACCCTTTTAAAGGAAAAAGACCGTGTTTTGGATTGAGCTAGAACATGACTCACTCAAGTCCAGGCATGTGCATCGATAGGCGCACAAATCCTCACTCCTTTGCTAGCCCAAGCTACTCCTGCTGGGCCTCCCCTTCTGCGATCTTCTGCGCCGCGGGATCAAAGGTCCGTGTCCCGGCCAAGACGTGCCCGTTCACTCTTCCAAATCAACGGGGGCCGCTTCTTGACGTGCCGCAGTATGCATTGCAACTTCAAACACTCCAAATGCCCGCGCGCGGCGACGCTCACTATGAAGAAGGTCTTCCCACGCGCGCGGCGCACGCGCGCGCACACGTGGTATCCCACCACGCGAACTCAGACGCTTTCCTTCGCTAACGCTGATGTCGCCTTCCAACTTCCACAAGACGCATGCCTTCCTGCGTGTGACAAACGCATGCCGTTGCCTTGTGAGTGATGATGACCTACACCAACATACAACGTATCGCATTTCTCTTTCACTTCTTTCATACCAAGCTTATCCCAAAGCCGCCCGGCTTGCTTCTCTGCTCCCTCAATCACCATTACATACGCCCCCCGCATCCGCGGCGCCGCTGCCTCGCAAGCTGCCGACCATGTGTCTTGTGCCGCGACGCCCTTCAGAAAAGGAGACACTCGTCTGGCGGCTGCTGGCTTCTTTCGTCCCCCCCTTCTCAGGTATATATATATATAGAGAGAAATGTCATTGAAGATGTGAAAGGCAACTCAGAAGTTGGTGGTTTTTGGGGTACTGTACTGGTTATTGGTATTGTGCGCATTGGGCAAAGCAGTTCCAGTGAGCGACATTCTTTCGGCGGTTTCGAGCAGAAAGTTCGGAGATCGAAAGTTTGCAGCAGAGTGCGTGTCGCCTCACTGTGTTGTCGCCCATGAGGGTGGGGCTGCCACACCAGTGAGGGAGTCACCAGTTGGGTGACTCCGGACGACCGAGGTGTGACTGGGCAGCGCGGGCTGTTCTTCTACTCAAGCCAGGTCCTCATTTTCTTCCCCGCTTCCAGATTTCAGCAGATGAGCAGTCCGCAGAGTTCAGCTTGTGTAAAGCATATATCATGCTACTTGAAATGCCGTGACCTGTGATCCAACACGTGTTGCTGTGATTTACAATGTTGTTGTTCTATCCCTATTTTTAAATCAGCCATTATTAACATCTAAGCAACTATGCAAACGGATGCAGCTATGTATAATGTTTACATATATTATACTGTGGGCAAGTGGCCATCACCTGACCTCACTGAGACCGGGACTGATTCTTTCAAACCAATACGATTTGGTGAAAGAATTTTGTCGCGACTGCATGTCGCAGGCAGGTGGAGAGTTGGTGGAGTTGCTGAGTTGGATGTTTTTTTGGTTCACAGGGGTTGGCAAAGGATAGTTTCTAGGATATGTTCAATTATATGTTTTCTTTTTCATGGTGAGTCTTTCGGCTTTGCTGGTCCCGAAGAATGGAGTGAGCAAAATCTGTTTGCCCTCCTTCGTCCCACGGAAAGCGGCTGCCATCAATGCACTCATTCCTTCCCTGGTCTTGTACTTGGTGCCTCGACACAAACAGCAATGCCCTGTCTAAATCTGCAGGCCATTTCGCCCACAGGCAACCTCTTTGGTCCCTTAGCTGTCGCTCCTACAATCGCACTGAAGCTCAATTGTAGGAGGTGGGACAGGTATCGTACCCTTCGACTTACGTCTATTGACTTCTCTCAAAAGGAGATGTTCTGGCGGTTTGGGTGTCTGTATACACTTGTACACCTATACACCTACTACCTACAGCCAAGCAATCCCGGAGAAGTTGTTGTACAACCTTCTCTTGTTCTACATGATACATGATATGTGGGGTGCTTACTTGCGGGCAGCGGGGGTGTCCGTGCGCGTCGACTGACAATTCGTTGCGTTGAAGTCCTTACCAGTTTTTTTGCAACAGCAGTGTTGGGTTTCTATGTCCTTGGGAAGCTTCCTTGGGAATCGTTTCACTGGGAATCGTTTCACCTGTAGTAACAAGAAGCTTTTTAGGTCTTTGAAGCTTCTTAGTAACAAGAAGCTACTAGGTGGAGGTCATCGCTATTAGGTTGGAGGCCATCGCTACTAGTAACAATAAAGCTTTCTAGCATATCTTTGAAGCTTCTGAGTAACAATAAAGCTACTAGGAACAAAGGGCATCGCTACTAGAAGCAAGAAGCTACTAGTAGCTCCAAGCATTACTAAGAGCAAGGATGCTATTAGGTTCCTTTTGCTACTAGGAGCAAAGGGCATCGCTTCTAGGAGCAAGGACACTACTAGGGGCTCCTGGCCTTACTACTAGGAGCAAGGACGCTATTAGTAACAATCTCTTTTATGTCAAGACTAGACTCAGTCTCTCGATTCGGGACGACGTCTTCGAAAACAAGACACGACTAGTAGCTTCTTGTTACTACTAGTAAGGCACCTGTTACTACAACCTATTTTAGTCACGACTTTGGAGCACAGGATTACCTAGCGTTTCCCACTGACTTTTCTTCATAGACAGTCGACAGTCGCAAAGAGCACAATCTTGTATTTAGTCTAGAAGAACGTGCTTGATCCATTTGTGCAGGAGAAACCTGGCTAGAAGGTATACCTACAGCCTACAGCAATGCAATTAATATCACAGCATGTGCGCAGTGTATTCACACAGACACATGCCATGCGCACACGCAGCTAGGTGTTTGTTCATTCAGACGTGTTCTACGTTTTTTTTTTGGGAGGACTCAGAAGTTTCTCTATTTTAAAGTCCATTTGAAACGTGTATTCCCAACTTCAGGGGGGCAAATCTAATCTAGCCCAAGCAAGCCCTTTTTGATATCCGGCACTCTGAGGGATTGCCACCAATCCCCTGCAGAAACGCAGGATTCGCTGGGGCGAGTGTTCAATCACATCAAAATCTCGCTGGCGGAGTACATGCGACGGCTCGAGGCCAGGGGTTTGCCGCGTGAAATGACCACGCAGGAGGTGGACCAGATCGCCTAGTCTGGCAAGGTCAGTCATGCACAGGTCTGGTGTGTCGAAAGCGGACGTTTTGAAACTCACTCATACAATCAGGCAAACGGGCACGAAGGTGTCCGAAGTTCCAACATTCAGGATGCCCCCTACACGCATTAGCGAGTGGTTGAAAGTCCAACTCTAGTAACTCTAGGTATGTACAGGTGTATAAATTGCATTGACTGGCTGTTCGGCCGTTCTAGCTGAGCAATCGTAATTCAGGTTTCATACACAGCAGAGGTTGAGCGCCTTAGGATCCTTGCACCAGAGGTTCCAGAGGGAGAAAAAGACAGAGAGAGAGAGAGGCATGTGACCTGTCAGGCCTTGACATATCGCGAAGACGAGGCCATTCGGTCTTTTTCATTGTTTGTTGCACGAAATGTTTTTGTTAATGCATAAATTTAATGGAATTTATATACAGTATGTATAACTTAAGGAGCCTTGTGGGTTCTGGCGTTTATGACCAACCTTGACAGTGCAGGCTTTGTTTGCATGCGGCTGCTAGTAAACGGGGTAACCTACTGTGGTGACCTAGCGCCTGCGAAATGTGCAGCTTGACCATCGGTGCCCACAGACAGCCAAAGTGCTGCATCTGCAGGACAATACCAGCTCTGATGAGGATCTCATCGAAACTGACTCAACTGAGGCCAAACTGTTCCTTACTGGAGCATCGCTGTGTCTTCCTCTCCTTGTTTCGGTTTACAGCATGAAGCTGTTACGTTTTTCTTTCGCACTTGCAACATGTCTGCGTGGTCCTTTCTCAGTTTCAAACAAGGGGCATGCTGTCCCAGTGGGCGGTTTCAGGAAGGTACCGGAAGCCAAGAAGAGGCGCGCTTGCAACTTTCCAGATTTCAGAAGCGCAGGCAATACTATTGAACAGATAAAACATGTTTTACTACAGGAAAAATGTATCCTTTGTCGTTTCTCTGCTCAAAAAGAGGTTTTCCTTTACACATGTCTGTAGAACAATGCTATGAAATTTGCTGGAAGACATGCAAAGGCTATAAATGCATTAACAAAAATCGTACGACTTGTCACTGCTTGAAAGACATGCACAGCTACAGGGGCATTGGTGTCCATTAGCCAATGAACAGAGTCTGGGAGCGTGGAAGGCTGATGATTCGAGTTTCGAGGTTGAAGACCCGGAACCGGAACCTCGGCGACCGGAGGTTTGAAAATGGCACTTTCTTGAATGAAAGAACGCCATCAACTGTGCTGGTTTGGGGTAAATCACAGTAGATGCTGGAACCTGGTTTGCGTATGCAGCTGTGGAGTCACGACTGATTCCATGTATCTCACAAGTAGTAGCGTCCTTGCTACTAGTAGCGATGCCCTTGTTACTAGTAGCTTCTTGTTACCAGTAGCGATGCCAGGAGCCCCTAGTAGCGTCCTTGGTACTAATATTGCATGTATATTAATTTTGCCGTTACGCATGCCTAATTTGCACAGTGGCAGCTGTTGCTTTTCTTCCAATATAATGTTCTTTTCTGCTGGCGGTGCCCACCACTGGTCGTTACTGGTATGTGTTGGGTTCTTTGGGCACCGTGAATAGGTCATGCTATCAAGTGTCCAGCTTAGGTTTGAAGACATGAAGCGACAAACCTCTAGTTATATACATAATTCCGCATAAGATGTGACATATGCGCTGGTGGAATTTCTTGACCTCTCGACCCAGGAAGAGCCACCGGCGCTGGTGGCACCTTGACATTGATCATCGTTGATCGCTCGGCCGGTCTATGATTCCTATATGAACGGTTAGAGACGCCGTGCGTGATTGCGTGTAACCACAGCTGACGAACAGCTATCATGAGTCTCCCAAACACCTATCCATGAGACTTGGAGGTGAAATTGTGGCGCATTTTAGCAGCTGTCATTGTGGATCTTTTTGTGCGTCCTTGTTCCTAGTAGTAGCTTCTTGTTCGTAGTAGCGATGCCAGGAGCCCCTAATAGCTTCTTGCTCCTAATTAGTAGCAATGCCAGGAGCCCCTAGTAGCGCCCTTGTTCCTAGTAGCTTCTTGTTCGTAGTAGCGATGCCAGGAGCCCCTAGTAGCTACTTGCTCCTAGTAGTACGGCCAGGAGCCCCTAGTAGCGTCCTTGCTCCTAGTAGTATATAATGCCAGGAGCCCCTAGTAGCGCCCTTGTTCCGATGAGGCCAAAAGCAAAAAACGTTGGGCCGATTTGGTAGACGACTCCGATGAGGCCGAGACTTCGAATATTCCTTTGACTCAAGCTGTGTTCGACAATGGATCAGCGGTGTTTGGCATGTCGTGTCTAAATTGTCACAGTGGGTCACAGAGTAGAGTGCAAATTGTGTCAATAAGGGCAGCAGATCAGAAACACCTAAGTGAGTGATTGCTTGATCCCCTTACCTTTGCGCTCTGAGAAAATTTTCCATTACTACAACTAGATCGAGCAGCGCAGTATTTGGAAACCACCTTAAAAGACAAATCAGGCTGTGAAGTACACAGGAGCACCAGAGCCCCGTCCCGACCAGAACTGGAAACATTTGCTACAAATCCAGTTAAGCACCAAAGACTATACAAGACTGTTTGGTGCTTAAATGAGTTTTCTTTCCTGACGCTCCTTTTCCATGACCTGATGTGTGAGCAATTGATTCCATATCATCGCAGCAATGGACCTTCCATCTGAAGCGCAATCAAGCCTTATAAGCCCCAGGAAGAGCTACCAGCATGGGCTTAAGAAGCTCAGGGCTCAGGAGAGTATGGAGGTGATCGGGGCAGGTTTTACTCATTGCCTACTCAGGGCTTTGCTGGACCAACTCTGGTCTCCAGGAACATGTGTGAGAAACCAAGGATCTCGGCCACCCGACGCATTCCGAGTGTGCTTGCTTCCTTTTTCTTGCTTCAGTGCGTAGGAGCACCAACAATGAATGTTTTGGATTTATTTGCAGTAGTTTGTGATTCATCACGCGTCCACTACAATATCTAGTGCACTACAATGGCTAGTGCACTCATCTCTCTCTATAGTTATTTTTATATTATGAAACCATATATATATATATATACTGTATATATAACATATATCGATGCTTCTTGATTTTTGTCTGCAATCTTCACAAGCTGTGCTTGGCCACGACAAAGGTCAGACATTTGACACAGAACATTTTCAACTGAGACAGATGAAGAAGGGCTGCTCACGACTTGGACACTCAGCAGTCAAGCCAGATTGCAACACTCTTAGAAGCCAATCTGCACAAATTGAAATCTGTTTTTTGGTTCGCAGATACACCAATGAGTGAGACACCAATGAGTGAGCAGCAAAGGACAAAGAGACACAGAAGAATCTGAGCTCTGGACATCAAACAGTCCGCGGCTCCCGGTCTGCGGAGTCCCCTTCTTGCGAGAAGGGGACAACAGGACCCCAGGCCTGGGAGAGGGGCAGGAGCGCCAGCCAGCATTGTGGCCATGGCTTTTGTTAGCCAACGATATTTGAGGCTTCAAGAGGTCTTCCTTTTTGGAGACCTCACCATACAAAAGGAATGTTATGTTTTGTGTGGTTGGAATGGATGGAAGGACAAAAATGCCCCGTCGGACGTCCAAGCTCGTGGATGTGAAAAAAAGGTGAGGAAGGCAAAAAAATGACGTTGTGCATAGTGTGATGAGGGGTTCCTGTGCTACTCATGGCTGCTTAGTTGAACACAGCAGTTTCTCAGAATGAGGGACATTTTGTTGGACCACCATAGATATTTCTTACATTAACCCCAAAGACTTTCACTTTGGACTTCTGGTTGTAACATGTTGTTTTAAACGTTTAACTTGGGTCTCAGCATATATCGTGTTCATTGTCCCCAACAGGTTGACATGAATTTGAGATAACACTAGGCATTGGTGTGCAGATGTTGCATGATTACAGTAAGTTAAGTAGACAAGGAAGCAGTGAAGATATACCACAATGCCCTGTTGAAAGCTCCCTTGAAACCACGGGAAGTAATCTTTAGTCTGGACAGGATTATATTTGTAAACAGGGCATTTGCACTTTCCCGCCATTGTGAGCTAATGTGAGCCCATGTAAGCTCATGCGTTCACTAAGTTCACTCCTTTCTCATCGTTTGGCGTAAACACGGGCCATTTATTTGCACGAGGATGTGCCCGGCCGAACCAACGTAGCACTACATAGTTATTGGTATACTGTAGATTGAATCATCCAAGTCTTGTATGAGAAGTATTTCTTAGCAGGCGTTCGAACCCACACCATTGTTTCAAAAAGCACAGGAACCCCGGAATGAACTCGGATTCAGTGTTTATCTTGCGGCTGACCGCACTTCGGTGTGTCCCCCGTGCGCCCAATGTCCCACCCAACTCAAAACCAAATCTTCAACTTTCACGGTGGACCCTTTGGCTGAGAGAATTCGGGTGCAATATGTTAGGGGGCGCAATTGAGGCTGTGACATTGGACAAGTTCGACGTCCAGTGCAGTGCTGCCTAGATGATTCGCAGCGAAGAACCTTCGCGATGTACAGCCCGTCGAATCAGTTTCAATCTTTTTTTTTGACAAACAGATCCGATGCCTTGTAAAGTGAGGAAGTCTGTGCATGCAAGGGAGTTCCAAGCAGGGTACAGGTGGCCAATTGTGGTCCTTTGGGTGGCCGATTGTGTCCTTCGTTGTGGCCCTCGTATAGCCAGAAGATCTATGATGCTTCAACCTGGACATGGTCCATTAATCAAGAACTGAGTGCCCAGCGCAATCCCAATACTTGGTAGTCTTCTCCATGTTACATGTTGGTTACTCTTGGTGAGTCTTTCACGTTCTCTGTCACGTTGTGGCAACACATCCTGAAACGACATACTGACTGACCCTGATACTCTACCAGCCCTACATCCAATGCACTACCACTTGTTTGGATCTTCCTGGGCCTTGCTGCAACCTGCCCAACCCTGCCTGTGTTGGAATTGTCGGCCCATCCAACGGTCGAGGATGCTCAGCAGACCCTTTCAGCGCAAAATCACGGTCGGCGCTTTGAGGCACAGCTGGAGTAGCCAGGAGATGTCAGGGTGAGGTCCTTCAAGCTTATTCCAACTTGATGAGTTTGGCTTGGAGCACTCACCCCTGCCTTTTTTATGTAGGGGATGGTTTGGACCGTTCTGGTGAACACATTTAGATTTTGACATTGGGGTTAGTTGCTCCTTTTTAGGACAATCTCTGCAAGCTTAGCGGCTCTGGGGCTCTTAAGTTCAAGTTTATTGGGTTTCCGACGCCCTCCACTGGATGAAGAGCCCAGAGTTCTCAACTCGTCCATTCTGAAGTCTTCAGGAGGGCTGGGCCTTGCAAAACAATGCGCAGACTCCAAAAAACCGATAGTGAAACTCTTCCTTGCGGGGCAGCCTGGCTCAGGCTGAGTATTGTTGAATATTGTTGAGTTTATTCTCCTCATGGGACAACTCGACACACCTCTTGCCAGTTGCGTAGTCCATCTAGAGTTGGAGTCGAAGAGTTTTTTTGTTCGTTCGTTTGTTTGTTTGTTGACCCGGCAGTGCCAGTCAGCCGATCCATTGGTTGGGCTGTACCTTTTGTTTCATCCGTGAACTCTGACCTTTGCTTTTGCGCAGGTTCCATACAGTGATTCACTCGGAGGCCACCTTTGGCCGCCGGCTGCGCATGGCTGTGCACAGCTGCACATGGCTGCGCCGGTGCGAATGATGGGCCGACTTGTCATGGACAGTTCAAAGTATTGACCCCGCTTGGTGAATGTGAGTGGCGGATCTTTGGGTCGGTCCATCCTTTCATGGAACCTGATGAAATCAATCAGGCCTAGTTTGGAGATCTATGCTGTATTAGCTGTATTTATTCTTGTGCGTTTCAGTGCGGCACTGGACTTGCTGGTTTGAGGGAATCCTGTCCTGATGTCTGTACGACGATCCTGGTATTTTGATTCTACTAAAAGATCCAGCAATAAAGCCTTGTCCAAGTTCAAAGAGAGCTATCAGCAGATTGTGGGCATAGCAAGGAGTCTCTCGGCGGCCTGTGTATCTTTGTGCTTTGTGGGCGCCAATCGAATGGCGAGTTCCGGGTTGCCAGCTTTTCGGCTCGAGCTATCTGGCATGTTTTGTCGAGAGAGAAATGCTGTGAGGCCCGTTGCTGCTGTGGAAAAAGGTGGACGTGATCACATATTCACAGATTCACACCTCAAGTATTGAATGAGAACCGTGCGTCCGCAGGCGAAGAACCGGACAAAGCAAGAGAGAACAAGCTCTCAGTGACCCACATTGAGAGGGTGCTAGCCTCGGGTGCTTGATGCCTATGGTATGGAGCTTCGTTTCGCATCGGCCAAAGTCCCTGTCCCTCTTGGCCATTTGGCGTTCACCCAGAAAGGAAGGCCAGATACCATCTCAGTTGGCACGTCTGTGTCAACTACACCGTTCTATATAATTCCGAAGTTTCTTGGGTCTTTCCTCACTTGTCACTGATCACTGCGACTGTCTGCAAGAGGTCACTCTGTTTGCTAAAAGGCACTGTTATCTGTTTATCCGGATCATATCCTGATCATAGATTGTGATTTTGTGATCTGCCCAAGTGATGAGCAAGCGGCTGGGACTGGTTCATTCATGACTTTCAAGGGAAGCATTCACAGTTGCGACCACATCTCCAAGATTTCGTCAAGATACAGTGTCATTTTTATCCTCAAAGGGGCTAACTAAACTCCCAGTCTCAACATTTCTCAGCAGGCATTCCAACGCCAACGACGACATAATTATCATTTTCATTACTATCATTACTATTATGTTTATTATTACGTACTCTATGTGATTATTATTTCTATTGTTGGTATATAGTAGTATTTGTTTCAAGCTGGCTTTTTTTAAGGATGTGAAACGAGCTATGCCACATCCCATAATTCATAACTCGCGCCACAACCATCTCAACTCATCAGCTACAACCCAGTGAAAGAAGCAGCAGCCAGGAGCTGATAGTATATTGTGTTTATATATATATATCTTTAGTCACTGCCGCGATTTCAGAATCGGTCATGGGCTGGAGTCCTTTCATGGAAAGTCAAGGAAGGAACTGTAAAGAGCCCAGAACGCCTCTTCTACTTTGATATTCTTGATCTCCACCTTTCATTTATTGTATATATATATATATACATATTGTTATTCCCCAGATAGCGTGAGCTATTGGGGTTCTTGCTTCAAGTATAGGAAGAGATGCATGTGTGCGCTTTCGAGCCTGGGTGCTGTACGGTGCGCGTGGGAGCTTGGTTGCTGGTGCCGCTGCTGTGTGCGCCTGTTGTGTGCGCGTGGGAGCTTGGGTGCTGGTGCCGCTCGTGTGCGCTGCTGCTGTGTGCGTGGGCGTGGTAGCTTGGGTGCTGGTGCCACTGCTGTGTGCGACTGTTCTGTGCGTGTGTGGTGCCGCTGCTGTGTGCCGCTGCTGTGTGGCTGTTGCGCGCGTGTGGGAGCTTGGGTGTTGGTGCTGTGTGAGCGTGGGAGCTGGGGTGCTGGTGCCGCTGCTGTGTGGGTGCCGCTGCTGTGCTGCTGCTGTGTGCGCGTGGGAGCGTGGGTGTTGGTGCCGCTGCCGTGTGCCGCTGCTGCGTGCATGTGGGAGCTTGGGCGCTGGTGCGGCTGCTGTGTGCGTGCCTGACGATCACATGGAGCGTGGAAGCTAGCTTCAGCTACCGCAAGCATCATGCTGATTAGATTGTTTATTTTGTTTTTTAGGGGAGGTGGTTTCTCTTTTACATGGAG